ATAAAAATTCTTTGGTTTTGCCAGGCGTTAGTGGCAGACGCCTTTAATCCCAGCACTTGGTAGGCAGAGGTAGGCGGATCTCTGTGAGTTCAAGGCCAGCCTGGTCTACAGAGCAAGTTTTAGGACAGCCTCCAAAACAATACAGAGAAACCCTGTCTCGAAAAACCAAAAAAAAAAAAATTCTCTGGTTTTCTTGATATAGGGTCTTGCACCCACGGGCCTCCAACTGGACATGTACTGAGGAGGACCTGAACTTGTGACCTCCTCCATTCTGGGATTATAGGTGTGTGCCACCTCACCCCACTCATAAAAGCTTTTCTTTAGTCGTAGTCATAAACTCCTCTCTCTAGTAAGAAATGATGACACACACTTGTAATAGCAACACTTGAAATGTAGGCAGCAGAGTAAAGAGTTCACACTCATTCACACTACGTGGCAGTTTGACTCTGGCCACCTGAGACCTTGTCTAAACAAGTAGAAAAAAGAAAAAGAAAAAGAAAAACTTCACTAACAATCTCCACCCTCCTGCTTACTTTTAAATCTTTTTTTGAGACAAATTTTTCTTATGTTACTGTGACTGTCTTGAGACTGGATTTGTAGACTGGGCTGGCCTCAAACTCACAGCAATCCTACCTTTGTTTCTTCCCTGGTTCTGGGTACAAGCATGTGCTACCATGCTCAGCTGATCACAACTCCTTGTTGCCTGGGAAATATGCATGTGTTCCCAGTTATAAAGATACACAAACTAGGCATAAAACTCAAGTATAGAGAAACTGATTCTAAGTTCTTTGATGTGCATATAATCTTACCATTTATTAGAGATTAAAGCAATTTTGCATACTAATGAGATGGATATGCTTGCTTTTTAAACTATTTTTGCATAAACAGTCAAGCCTTGGCTGACCATATGAGACTGCAGAGTATAGCGTACCTTCACAGTTCTTCATTTGATTGGTGTGTGTGCAGGCATGCTGAAAAGTATACTCACTAAATGTGCATGTGGAGGCCAGAGGGTTGTGATTGGATACTCTGAAATGATCTCTATCTTATTTGCTTGTTTTTTCATTTTTATAATTTTGACATCCAGCACTTAGTTATCATACTCATTGACTGTCTATAAGTTTTAAAATTTATTTTTATTTGCATGTGTGAGCCTGCCTCTCTGTATGTGTGCTATATGTATGCAGTCACCCTTGAAGGTGCCAGGTCCCCTGGAACCAGAGTGCTACCCAATGTGGATGCTGGGAGCTGAACCACTTGCAAGATCAGCAAGTGCTCCTAACCCCTGCACCATCTGTCTAGTCTGTCTGTAGATTTCTGAACACAGTAACAGGGACATAGGTCACAAAGTAGAGAGCTTGTTTGGTGACCCCTCATCCTCACTGTGTTTTGTGGACAAGCACCCTATTCCATTGGTTCAGGCAGCTTTGTTGAACCTGGTATCAGTGCCCACATCTGGAGTCCCCATCTCCTTTAAGCTTATATTCTGGGTCTCCTTGAGTGCCCTGGGGTACTTTCCCGAAGGCCACTCTAAGGATGAGCTTGTGAATGGTGATATATGTGGTGTGTATATTCTGGATCACCTCCTTGTTAAAACAGAACTACAGTTCTTTGTCTTGTCACGACTTTGCAAGAGTCATTTTGCCAGGCTCAAGTTAGAAGGCTCTACTTTATTTGAGAGAAGGCCTCTCACTGAATCTGGAATTGGCCTTTCAGATAGCTCCCAGGATCTGTTGTATCCTTTACCAGAGTGCTGGGGGTTATAGGCGCCCGCTGCCTCACCCAGATTCTGACATGGTGCTAGTTGTACTTCGCCATGTGCCCCAGCCATTGCCATGTGACCCTCCACCAGAGGCCAAAGCTGTGAACCCTTCCAGCAAGTACTACAAGCCTCCAAAACCAAGAGGTAAATAAGCCTTTGTAGGTTAATGTCTCAGGTGTTTAGCTTTGTAATTTTCTGGTTCTTGTTTGTTTATTTACTTATTCTGTGCTTGGTACAACAGAGCCTCAGGCATGCCAGGCAAGTGTTCTAGCACTGAGCGGCATCTCTGGTCCCTGTTTCAGGTGTTCTGTTACAGCAAAGGAATGACTAATGCGCCCCCTAGTGCTCTAGTATCCATACATCCTTACTTTAACTTTTTTGGGGGGGATTAGTATCCATGCTTTTAATCTCAGGACCCAGGGAGGCAGAAGCAGGTGGGTCTCTGTGAGTCTGAGGCCAGCCTGGTCTATAAAGTACATTCCAGGCCAGTCAGGGACACACAAGAAACCTGCCTCAATTTTTTTCTTAAAACTTCATTTATTCAGTGTGTGTGTGTGTGTGTGTGTGTGTGTCAGAGAGAGAGAAAGACAGAGACACAGAGAGACAGAGAGAGAGCGTGTGAGCCACAGTGTGGAGGTCAGAGGGCAATCTGCGTGAACTTGTTTTCTAGCCACTCCACCGCTTATTTTGTTTTATCTAACTACATTTATTTATTTATTTATTTATTTGTGTATTTATTTATTTGTGTGCGTGTGCAGCCTGTTGTGTAGCCATCAGAGGGCAACTCTTAGGAGTAGGTTCTCCCCGGCTACTTTGTGGGACCTGGAAGTTGAACTCAGGTCTTCAGGCACGCACACAACAGCCTCTGTCTGCTGAACCACAGGCACATCTTTACTTCGGTATTTAAAAAACATTTAAAGAGGGCCCAGTGAGCTCCACATCTGAGGAATGAGAGTGGGTGGACAGAGGCTTGCTCTCCCTGAGCAGGTCCACTGCCCAGGCTCCCTGAGCCTCCAGTCGGGCAGCTTCCTGCCAGAAGAGCAAACAGGAGAGAAGACATTGCCAGTCAAAAGTCCAGGACCACCCTGGAGAATGTCTGTCACTCACTGGAAATAAATGTTTGAAATGGGTTGGAAAATTTACCAAGTGGTGTCTGGTCAGCATCTGTCCCTGATCTTGCTTGACAGCTGGCCTCATCCAGTGGGACACAGGCCTGGGAATGAGACCCCAAAACATTTCCTGGATTTGCAAGAGAACTGCTCTATAACCCAACGGGTTATAGAGCCAAGAGGGTATGCATTTGGCATTACCAGTGTTCCTGTTTCTAACAAAAGCCTAACTGTGGGAGAACAGGAGGCCAGGAAGGTAGGTAGGTGTGTGTGTGTGGCTCCAGTTTTCAGTTTTTCTAGGGTCCTTGCCACTCTTTCTCCACCTTGTCACCTTCCCTAGCATCTTCCAGCACTACCCAACTCTATGTACTCTAGGCTGTCTTTGAACTCCTGATCCTCCTGCCTCTACCTCCTCAGTGTCGGGATTGTAGGCATGTTCTTTTGTTTGTTTTGAGACAGGATCTTACTCTGTAGCCCAGGCTAGTCTCAAACTACACACGGCCAAGAATGACCTTGAATTCTTGCTTTTCCTCTCTCCACTTTCCTAGTGCTGGAATTACAAGTATGCACTACCACGTCCAGCTTAGCCTCATTTCAAACCTGAGTAGTAAGACAAATATATAAGAATATAGAAATGTGCCAGGCGTTGGTGGCGCACGCCTTTAATCTCAGCACTCAGGAGGCAGAGGCAGGGGAATCTCTGTGAATTTGAGGCCAGCCTGGTCTACAGAGGGAGTTCCAGGACAGTCTCCAAAACAATACAGAGAAACCCTGTCTCAAAAAAAAAAAAAAAGAAAAAGAATATAGAAACATATAATCCCTAGTTTAAGTCACTGAACTAAACTTAATGCCTTATACACAATAAACATCATAGTCTTCGTGTATACATACATACATATATATATGTATACATGAAAAACCTCGGCATCAAAGCGCCGGGCTTTCAGGGAGTACAATATTTATAGAGTTTCAATGGTTACATAAGTAACAGGCATTTCATTGGCTCATCTTGGGGGCAGGGGTAGTTCCCACGGACTAAGTTTCCTGGTATTACTTTATGAAAGACCCAGGCATACTTCAGCAATTATTATCCTGGTCCCATGACTACTATGGTGATCATAGACACAACTGGGGGCAAGGGTAGTTGCCAAGGACTAGGTGTCCTGGTATTGTCATATGAAAGTTCCCAGCACGCTTCAGAAATTATCCGGGTCCCATGATTGCTATAGTGATCAGACACAATTGGGGGCAAGGGTAGTTGCCAAGGACTAGGTTTTCTAGTATTGTCATATGAAAGTTCCCAGCACGCTTCAGCAATTATTATCCAGGTCCCATGACTGCTATAGTGATCACAGACATCCTGTTTTGAGGGTGAGACACCTGGTCAGGGTTTCTTTCATTAGGCAATAGCCTGGCCTTGCTTTTCTTTTCCTAGGGGGGCCCTGGGTAGGGGTCTTTCATACATACATACATACAATATATATATATATTGACCACATTAAAGCCCCCAAAGAAATCCTCAATTCATTTTAAAAAGTGACTTGACCAAGGCCCCCCACCTGGAAGGTACTGAAATAGAAACCTGACTCAGGCCTCTACCTCTTTATTTTCCTATGACTTAACATTCTTCTAGGATAAGTCAATAGTAATTCCTTTCCAAGTACTGGTCCCAGAGATAACTTGGTGGTAAAAGGAGTCACTGTCTCAAGACCTAGAACAGTGTCAATACTCAACTGGTGTTAGATGGGTGAATCAATGAGCAAATGACCTCATAAAATCCAGACTTGGAGTCTGGATTAGAAATGTCCTCTGTAGGCTCAGGTATTTGAGCACTTGGGACCCAGTTGGCGGCACTGTGGGTGTTCAGAAGAGTGGTCATGTTGGAGGAAGCATGTCACTGGAGGCAGACTTCGGGAGTTTAAAGACCCTGACCATCTTCAGCCTGCTCTCTGCTTCATGCTTTAGTTTAAGATGTGAACTCTTAGCTTCTGTTCCAGGTGTCATGCCTGCCGCCTGCCACCCCCCCCGGCCTTGCTGCCCTGTATCCTCTGGAACTGTAAGCCAAATAAATTCTTCTTCTGTAAGCTGCTCCTGGACATGTTTTTGGTTTGTTTGTTTGTTTGTTTGTTTTTTGGTTTGCTTGTTTGTTTGTTTGTTTTCAATCACACAGAGGATTACCTAGTACAGAGAAACTCACTATGGATTTTTGTATTTGACATGGTTATACACATTCTAATCTTCTAGAATGTGCCCAAGACAAGGTTGTGGGAGACAACTATTTCTTTACAAAGTATGTGGTATGACCAAGCAGCCATTAGACATCATTAGAGGAAGCATTAAGACAAAGTTATACATGTGACCAAACTGCAGGAGAACTTCCCCAGGGTGACAGGGGTCAACGGGGGACAGAGTCTAGAGGGCCCTAATGGTCCTCACTTATTCTCCCTCAAAACCTTTTAAAGCGTCCGTCACGGTGACCAGCCCCAGAGTAATGCACATTTAATTCAGCTTGTAATGCAGTGCAATCAATAGCACCATGACACAGACAGTTTATCACACATCATCCGAAGTTTAACAAGGAAATAAATTAGTAATAAACACAAACCAAGCACTTAGAAATTCAATTTGAGGTTTCATCTTTCCCCACAAATCAAAATTCTTCTTATAGCTTATTAAATATTTCAGGATAAAAGAAAGTGTTTTTGTTTTTTTTTTAAACTCAGGATAGAATGGATTGGAAAATTCCTTAAGAAAAAAATAAGTGTAATGGCTTTGATTTTAACAATACTTTACAGTTCATAAGCTGTCTTCACATTTTGTCCTGTTTTCACACACACACACACACACACACACACCCGCTCCCCCGCTCCCCGCTTCAGAGTCTTGGCAATTAGGACAAGTAAACACATTTGGCAGAGGAGGACCATGAACCATAAGGGGAACTGTGAGTCTCCAAATACCTGGTCTAGGATGGGATTAGTCCACAGACGGATTGGGTTCTGATGGAGAATGTGGAGAGATAGAGACAGTGTGCTGTACATGGTGTTCTTCACTGGAGTTCAGGCTTGTTGAGATTTGGTACGGATGTCACCACGCTTCATTAGGGTTGTTTGTTTGTTGTAGGTCTTTGGAGACTTTAAGTATAGACTGTTGGGTTAATCACATCCCTTGGAGGCTAGAGAGATGGCTCAGTGGTTAAGAATACTTCTCTTGCAGAGGACTGACTTTGGTTCCAGGAACCCACGTGGCTGCTCACAACTGTCTGTTATTCCAGTTCCAAGGGATCTGAAGCTCTTTTCTGATCTCTGCAGGAACAGGCACACAGGCATACATTCAGGCAAAACATTAAAACGAAACAACAACAACAACAACAACAAAAACTCACATCCCTTAGATGGCATATAGTCTCCATCAAGTAATTGCTCTTATCTTATTCAGTAAGGGACTTTATACCCTACCCTCATTCCACTTATGTAAAACCCAAAACAGACCAAGCTCTTCCCTAGCTACCAGGGTGGAGAAAGGTAGACACCTCCCTCTCCGCACACCCATAGAGCTTAGCTTTTGTCTTTATAGTGATAAGTCTTTTATTTGGCAAAAAAAAAGAAGCCTTGGTGTCATGTATCTAGGATGTGTGTAGCTTTCTGTACATTATACCTTGTTAAATTATTATGCCTGGGGGGGGGCTGGAGAGATGGCTCAGTGGTTAAGATCACTAACTGTTCTTCAGAGGACCTTGGTTCAAGTCCCAGCACCCACATGGCAGCTCACAACTGTCTGTAATTCCAGTTCCAGAGGACCTGACACCCATGGCAAAACACCAATGTACATAAAATAAAAAAATAACAATTAAAAATTATTATACCTAGCCGGGCGTTGGTGGCACACGCCTTTAATCCCAGCACTCGGGAGGCAGAGACAGGTGGATCTCTGTGAGTTCGAGGCCAGCCTGGTCTACAAAGTGAGTTCCAGGACAGCCTCCAAAGCCACAGAGAAACCCTATCTCGAAAAAAAAACAAAAAAAAATTATTATACATTGGCTGGGCAGTGATGGTGCATGCCTTTAATCCCAGCATTTGGGAGGCACAGGCTGGTGCATCTCTATGAGTTCAAGCCCAGTCTGGTCTACAGAGCTAGTTTCAGGACATCCAGGACTATTACACAGAAAAACCCTGCCTCGAAAAACCAAAAAAAAAAATTATTATATCTCAAAAAGTCCTGCTGGAAGCTGGCTATGGTGGTATGTGCTGCAGTCAAAGCAACTTGTGAGTCAAAGCAGGAAGATCACTTGAGCCAAGAGTTCAAAATCTCTTTGGGCAGCATAGCAAGACTCCATCTCTTTTTAGAAAAAAATATTTATTTATTCTACATATATGGCTTTTGTCCACTTGTACATTTACACATCAGAGGAGGGCATCAGATCCCATGGAACTACAGTTATAGATGGTTGTGAGCCCCATGCAGGTGCTGGGAATTGAACTCAGGACCTCTGGAAGAGCAGCCTGGGTGCTCAACTGCTGAGCTATCTCTCCAGCCTTAAGACCCCTGTCTCTTCCTCCCTCCCTCCCTCCCTCCCTCCCTCCCTCCCTCCCTCCCTCCCTCCCTCCCTCTCTCCCTCCCTCCCTCCCTCCCTCCCTCCCTCCCTCCCTCCCTCCCTTCCTTCCTTCCTTCCTGTCTTTCTTTTTTGTTGTTGTTGCTTTTTCTGTGTTATAGTCCTGGCTGTCCCAGAGCTCACCCTTAGTCCAGGCTGGCCTTGAACTCACAGGCATCTGCCTGCCTCTGCCTCCCAGCACCTCCTTTTCTGAGGTCCTGCCACACTCATTCTCTTTATCTATGTTAAGACAGCAGTCTCTCACAAAAGTGAACTGCGAGCAGAAGCCGAGGAAGCAGATGAGGAAAGAGAGGAATCGGGTTGGCAACTGTATGTGAATCTGAATGAAGACTTCTGGGGGGAAAAAAACCCTTGTTGGTGATTTATACTCCTGGTCCTACCCTAGCATTCGGTCCTGAGTCCACCATTCCAGATGCACTCACTCACTGCTCCAGCATCCCTGACAAGTGAATGCCGGAGAGCCACATAACAAGGGTAAGTGTCTTAGTTACTGTTCTATTGCTGTGAGGAAACACCGTGACCAAGCAGTTTATAAAGAAAGCATTTAACAGGCTCCGAAGTTACACAGAGAAACCCTGTCTCAAAAAAGCAAAACCAAGTAAATAAATAAACAAAAGAAAGAAAGCATTAACCAGGGGCTTCCTTACAGCACAGAGGCTAGCCCCAGCATCACGGTGGGGAGTGTGGAAGTAGGCAGCAAGCAGGCAGGCATGGCACTGGAGCATTATCCAAGAGCTCACACCTGATCCATAAGCTGCAGCAGAGAGAGTGAGACTGCGCCTGCTGTGGGCTTTTGAAACTTCAAATGACAAGTATGCACATCCTCCAACAAGGACACACCTCCTAATCCTTCCCAAACAGCGGACTAACTGGGAAACAAACACTCAATATATTAATTATTCTATGGGGGACATTCTCATTCAGACTACCACAAGAAGAGTGCACAGTGAAATGACTTCAGACATTCCGGTCAAACCAAGCTCACACGCTTTACATATGTGTAACTGGACAAGTTCATTAACACCTCTGCATTGTCTTCCTTTTTTTGCTAGCTTCTCTCCTTCCTTCCTTTCTTTCATTCTTTCAGTTGGTGGGGGAATTGAATTTTATACATGCTAGGTGTAAGTGTTGCAGCTCTGATGGAAAGGTATCCATCCTGGCAGTTGGAAGCCAAGGAATACCACAGTCACTGTAACCTTAGCAGTTTATACCCCTGCTTCAGGGAAAGGTTTCCCAAATGCAAGTGTAACAACTGTGCTCAGGCAGGGAAGGGTTATGGTTGTTACAGCCCTGCTCGGTGCTGGGAAGGGCAGCCCAGCCCCTGGGCTGGAGAGTCCAGGGTAGTGGGCAGGAAATGCCAGCCAGAAGGGCCCTGTAACAGGTAGGGACTGTGGGATGCAGGGAGAACCTGGCAGCCAGGTCTGCTTTGATATATTAAATAGGCACCTTAGCCATTTGTCCCAGGATAGAAACCTAACAGAAATGACACTGGGACTTGTCAGGTTTGGATCACAAAAGACTCCACAATCTTCTTCCCTTTCTCTAATGGCCCACTCTGGGGGAGGGGGGGCAGCTGCCATATTGTGACACCACTTAAGCACTCTACAGAGAGGATTATGGGAGGGAACTAAGGCCTCTTACCAACAGCCACGTGAGTGTACAGAACATCATCTTCAGATAACCACAGCCCTGGCTGGCATCTACAGCCCATGAGAGATGCCAAGCCAGAACCGATCTCCTCACCGCTCCTGAGTTCCTGGCTGCCATGAGCTGTGTGAGATAATAATGAAGGGCTTCGTGCTGCTGCTCTAGGCTGTTGGGGTCATTTGTCATGTAGCACTGCATGAGTAAGACATAATAAAACTGTCGTCACTACTGTTACAAACACTTCCTGATTTTAGCTGAAGTCCGCTGTCTTGTCATGTCCGCCCTCTCTCCCACTTCCGTCTTTCCAAAGCCACATGGAAAGAGCAGTCTCTCTTCCCCATGGTCAAAATCATGACAGTTTTCATTCGACTCATTCAGCTCATCAGATACTGCTGAAGAGCAATCACATGACCAAACACTAGGGAAGATCAAACAGGAATGCCTGCTCAGACACACCCTCAAAACACGACCCCTTGTCCCAGGTGCTGTCCTGCAGGGGCCTGATTCCCGCATGCCAGGAGGAGGGATTCCTGGGGAAGTGGGGTTTGGTTCTGCAGAAAGAGGTGAAGGAAGACTTCTAGAAGAGAAGGAGGGGTGCTGAGGCCACAAATAACAGATAAGACTTCACCAGGGTGACATGAGGCAAAGGACTTCTAGGCACAAGCCCACCCTGATGCAAGCCCTTCTGCAAGCCATGCTCTCTCTTTTCTCCAACTTCTTCTTTTCTTCCAATACTGAGGTTTGAATCTGGGGCCTTGCACATGCTCGGTGAGCACCTTCCCACTGAGCTAGGTTCCTAGCCCTCTTTTTCACTGTTTATATTGAGATAGGGTCTCACCACATAGCCTCAGGCTAGCCTCGGACTTCTGATCTTCCTGCCTCAGTCTCCCAAGGGTGTGCCACCACACAGGCTTCTCTAACTCCTCAGTGCTCCTCCTCCTCCCTGCTTCTTTGTAGCTGTCCTCTGAACACACTCTTTCCTGTCACATGATGGGCCTTCAGACAGAGGCAGCCCTCCAGGGTGGTCTGACCACTGCTAAGGCAGAGCCAGTCCGCACACTTCTTTTTCTGGATGCTCTGCTTGGTCCAGGCCTGCCCGAGGTTGCTGGCGCCCACATCCTCCAGCTGACTCACGCCGGTCCCCCTGGCATCTGGGCTGCTAAGCTCCTTTTCACATGTGCTCCTGCACAACCACATCTTCCCCCCAGCTTTGTAATTCTCTCTCTCTCTCTCTCTCTCTCTCTCTCTCTCTCTCTCTCTCTCTCTCTCTCTCTCTCTCTCTCTCTCTCTCTCTCTCTGTGTGTGTGTGTGTGTGTGTGTGTGTGTGTGTGTGTGTGTGTGTGTGTGTGTGTGTGTGTGCTTGGAAAGATTCCCGGGTGCTCTGAAGTTCAATAATTTGATGCGTGTAAATTGATCAGCTCCAGGTTGTTGTGTCAGGGGGCATGTGGAAGCACTGTGTACCTCCAAACAAATAAGAAATAAACCCCACTTTTGAACAGGCCCTGGAAACAGAAAGCCTCTTGTCATTGGAAGGCCATTGTGGTTAGGAGTGATTCAGACTTGCGGCAGCTCCTGCCCGCCCTTAGTATCTCTGGGGCCAGTCTGGGGTCTGAAGACGCCTTCTAGGAAGCAAGGGCTGGGTGCCGGCTGGACGCTTCAGGGGAGCTGAGTGCAGAGGAAGGAAATTGGAAGAGGATGTTTGTCTGGTTCCCCACGGTTCCCACCTTCCCCTTCGGAGAGAGTCAGGCCATTGTCTAGGTGCACCACTTGGGTTGTTTACCTTCTCAGACTCCAGCTCCAAGCAAGATTTCACTCAGCTCTCCTTCTGCGGAAAAGTGACCACAGGAAGAGGCTGAGCTGCCCTTGCCAAATGTCCAGGCTCTGATCTCCTGTCCCACCTCTCTGCCTTCCCTGTCACAGGCTCTCAACAGAAAACATAAAAGGCAGGCAGCTTGGAGTCATTTACTCATGTGTTCATTTATGCATGTATCCGTCCACTCAGCATTTATTGAGTACCTACTGTGTGCCAGAATTGTTTTCGATGCTGGCGATCCGAATAGGAGGCCACAGTCCTTGACTTCGAGAGGCCACCGCTCTGGGAGGAAGCCAGAGGCCTCACAAACAGGCATGGAAAGACACAGAAGTACTTGACTCAGCCTGGGGAGAAATCTGGAAAGGTACCTTAATTTTCAAGGTAAAATAAAAGTTAGCCACGGGAAAGAATACTTATTATGTTATTAAGCATCTTCAGTGTGGCAAGCACTGTGGTAAATTTTTACATGTGGATTATTTCATTTGACTCCTCCACACTAAGAAGGAGGGAGGCACTGTAATTATCCCAGCTTCCCAAACGTGGAAAGCATGATTTTAAAAGGTCAGCCGGCTCCTGGTTTTTAACTGAGAACAAATAGCAGAAGTGAGAGTTGGAGCTGGGTTTTCCTGATTCTAGGTCTGTCCTCTTACTCAGGGCTGCCTCAGGCAGATGTGCCGGTCACAAGCTACAGACGGCAGGGATGGCCCTTCCTTTGATGATGTATGCATGGGTACATGCATCTGGAAAGAAAAGTCCTCTTTTACAAAAGTGTGAGCAAAGGAGTAGTCAGGAACCAGCCGTGCAACGCCAGCCATGTCAGTGGCCCAGCCTTCCTCAGAGAGGCTGCAGCGGTGGCTTAGCCTCGTGGGACTGGCTGACAGCCAGTGTGTTTCCCTTCTGAACTGTCCTAGGACATAAACCAAAAGGCCTCAGGTCTCCAAACTACTGAGTGTCCTTCCAGTGGTCAACCTGTATTTGTCATCCCACAGCTGGTCCAGTGTGGGATGCCCACTGGCCTTCTTGTGACCGGGGCTGAGTACAAACACTATGTACCAGGTGAGTGTCTGGAAGCCAGAGGCAGGAAGTGCCCGTGCTGCACTGAGGCAATGGCAGTTTACCTGCAAGGAATCAAAAGACAGCCCTAGGAGCAAGAGGAGCTCCCACCACCCATGTAGCCAGCTGGGTGACATTCAGACACCTGAAATGCCAGCTCTACCTGGGTGTGGAGACAGAAGGATCATTGGTAGCTTCCAGACTAAGAGAAGCCCCTGGTTCAGAGAGAGATTCTGTCTCAGAAAGAATAGGTGGAGAGTGACAGGACACCTAATACCTATCCCGGCCCCCATGCGTGTGTGAGGACACACACATATGTGCTCACATACACTCACAAAGAACAGCTAAACCTTTTCAAAGAGGGGAGGGGCTGGTGAGATGATTCCACGGATAAAAGGGCTTGCAGCAAGAGCCCAAGGACCTGACTTCAACCCTGGAACCCAGAAAAAGGAAGAGGTTCACATCTGTAAGCCCAGCACTCCTATGGCAAGGTGGATGGTGGAGACAGGAGACTCAGCAGGGAGTTCAGGGCCAGCTAGCCTGGAATGTGCAGAATGACAGAAACAAGAGACACTTTGGAAGGAGAGGACCAACTCCCTAAAGGTGTCCTCTGACCTCCAGTGTGGGCCTGCACTCACCACACACACCACACACACAGTGTCCAGACACACACTAATAACAAATTTAAAGATTAAGACAAACAAAAAAATAAGCTTTAGCTAGCTTTCCTAGTGTATGCCTGTGATCTCATACTCAAGAAGGGAGACTGAGGAGGAGGGTGAACTTAGAGGCCAGCCTGGGCTACATAACCTAGGGCAGCCTGGGTTACATATTAAGAGCCTGTCTCAACACACACCCCCAAAAAAAGAAAAAAAGTATGTGCCTGGATGTGGTTATGCATGTCTGTGATCCTGGCATTGGAGTTGAAGGCCATTACAGGCCTACAGAGAGGGTTCCAGACCAACCTGGGTTTATAGAAAGACTCTGTCTCCAAAAGTAAAGAAAGAAAAGGTAATTATTTGTCCCTGGTTCTAGACACACATCCTCAGGTAAGGACAATCCAGCTGAAAACCTGGATGTTTGAATGCACATCTAGGAGGTGTGGGAAGCCCCAGGATTCCCATTAGTAAGCCCTCCTCATTGTTTCTCAGAAAAAAATGTCGCCTTCTACAATGAAAATGAATGGTGCTTTTGAATTATGGTAATTGACAAGTTATGAATTCATTAATATGCTTCTGGACTTTCTCTATCAGTAAGGGAGCTAAAACACAAATGGTGACTGTGATTCAATGACTGTAGCAGCCAGAGTGAACACACCCCTGTTGAGACAGGCATTTGTCAATGTTTATGGCTACCTAGCACCCAAGCCCTCCCTCTATCTAGAGGGACTTCCCAAGGGGTTAGTCACAGCAAGCCTCACCTCCCACTGGGGAAGCAGCAAGGCCTACAGATGAACTTTTTCCCCTGATGTATTCTTAGGCAGAGCAAAGGCAGATGCCAGGCTGGCCAGTCATGTGTTCTTGGCCTAGCGTCCAGCAGTGTCTGGGAAGAGATTGGCTACAAAAAGGTGACTACTTTGTATCTGCTTCTTGGGCTTCTGCATATTTACTTGTGTATGTTTTTGTTGTTACAGTGGTCATGGTGGTGCACTTCAGTGAATTGTCCCTCTCTCCCTTCTTCCCTCCTTGCCTTGCCTTCTCTTTTTCTTTTTCTTTTTCTTTTCTTTTTTTTTTTTCTTTTTGGTTTTTCGAGACAGGGTTTCTCTGTGGCTTTGGAGGCTGTCCTGGAACTAGCTCTTGTAGACCAGGCTGGTCTCGAACTCACAGAGATCCTCCTGCCTCTGCCTCTGCCTCCCGAGTGCTGGGATTAAAGGGGTGCGGCACCAACGCCCGGCTCGCCTTCTCTTTTTCTATGCACAGAATGGAACATAGAGCTTCATACATGTTAGGCAAGTCTTTTACCACAGATGTCCATCCCCAGCTCTTACAATACATTATCAACTAGAGTCTCCACACTGTACCTTCTGTCGTTATTTAAAACTTTTAATTTATGTATATGTGTGTGTGAGCCACATGTTTACAAGTGCCCTTGGAGACCAAAAGGGGGTGATGGGTTCTGGAGCTGGAGTTATATATAAAAGGTTGTTAGCCACCTACTGTCGGTGCTGGAAACTGAACTCCAGTCCTCTGGAAGAGCAGCCAACACTCTTACCTACTGAGCTATCCTTCTGGAACTGTTTTCACTTTAAATTTTGTCTGCTTTTCCAGCTTCTGGTAAGTTCTTGGTATCTTTACGAATTCTTTTCTGTTTACAGGAATGAGTTGTTTTGAAACCAGGGATTGACTATGCACATGTTTGGAAATGCACGCTCCTAAACTGAGTTCTAGCTGTGTGACACGAGGGTGACTGTAGTCTGGACTCTGTGTACTAGGTGGGAACCCAGGCTCTGCAGTGAGACCAGCAAGAGCTGGAATTTGGGTTGTCCCTTAGTAGCTGGGTGAGTTTTGCATGTGTCTTAGCATTTCGGGTACCATTTCCTCCTCGGCAGAGTGCAGCTACTACTTGCATGACTGTTATGGAAACAATGTGATGATGTTAGAATGCAGCCTCTGAGCCTGGATGTGGTGGCGTGTTTCTTTAATCTCCTCACCTGGGCAGAGGCAGATGGATCTCCGTGAAGATATGGATCTAAGCTACATATAGAGTTCCAGGCCAGTCAAGACTACAAGAAGGAGACCTTGTCTAAAATCAATCTGTCAATCAATCCAGCCTCTGCTTAGACCTGCCTCCATCCACAGATACCAACAGGCACCCTACAGAGACTGTTAGTACCTGTTAACAGATATCCTAGGACTGAGATTTCTCACCTGGGAAATGAGTTAACATCAAGACAACATTGGCAACACATATCCTGTTCCCCTCCCCTTCCCTGTCTCCTGTCTGGGAATCAAAAAGCCTGACTCTTGATGTGAAACTTCAGAAAGCAGTAAGAACAGATCCGCACTTCAGTCCCATGGCCTCTGATTTCTTTCTTTGGAGAGTCCTCTATGTTCTCTCTTTGTCTGCCCATGGTGTTAATAACTTTTCTGATAAACTCCTTACCTCCTAGTACTGCATCTCAGTGTCCTGGTGAATCTCTCCCGTTAGAAACATTCCAGTAATGAGGATCAGATGTGATCATGGCCATGTAGGATTTAACACAGCTCCTGATGAGGATTCATGCATGAAAACTGTTGACAATGATGCTGGTGGCTTTTCCTGCCTTCCTTCTTCCTTCTCTGTCTCTCTCTGTCTCTTTCTCTCCTTCCTCTGGCCAGGAACCAGACTTGTGTCGTGGCAATAGGAATACTAAATCTTATCTTCCTTAATTTACATTTTCTTTCTTTAATTCTTTTTTAAAAGATGATTTTGTTCTTTGAGACATGGTTTCAAGTAACACAGGCTGATCTTGAACTCCTGATTCTCCTGTTGCCTGCTGAGATTAAAGGTGTACTCACCACATTCAATGTGATTTTAACATCAAGGAGCTTGTTATCCGGTAAGTCTGACTTATCTCCACTAATTCTTCCCAAAATTCCAAGCAATGGACATGTGATGTCTTACCAAAAGGATTCTAGAAGTGCTGAGACAAATAATCAGTGCATTCAGCCTGTGATGCTCACAGGCATTAACTCAATCCTCCCAGGGCCCGGTTATGCACTATGTACGGTCTTCACAATGCAGATTTCAATGCTCCCTAGTGGAAAGACAGACTCTCTAGAAGAAACATTCTTCAAGGGAGTGAAGTTACATTCACAGCCTAGAAGTATCTCATATCTATCCTTGCTTCATCAAATTGGCTTCTGCAAGGAAATCTACTTCCTGGCTCTGTGGTTCCTGGGAAAGTAAATTAACTGTATATAAATGTGGTTAGGTTATTGTGAATCGTCTTCCAGATTCTGGGCTTCCATGAAAAGTTAAGTTTCAAAACTTATAAAGATAGAAACCAGATGCAGCACTGATACCTGTCCCATGAAGAAGACTATCAGGCCTACACTCTGCATATTCATACACACAACTTGAACTGTGTGTGTGTGTGTGTGTGTGTGTGTGTGTGTGTGTGTGGTGTATATGTCTGTGATCACATGTACATGTACATACAGAGGCCAGATGTCAACACCAGGTATATTCCTCCAGCACTTTCAATTTATGTTTCCAGACACAGTCGTTCACTGAACGGGACACTCACTTATTTGGCTAAAATGGTTAGCCAGCAAGTCCCAGAGCTCCTCCTGTCTCCCCCTCCCAGGGCTGGGGTTGTAACTGTGCCCTATCATGACTGGTTTTGGGGGGGGGGGTTGTTGTGTTGTTTGTTTGCCACAGCCCCAGCTGTCCTGGAACTAGCTCTGTAAATCAGGTTGGTTTTGAACTCACAGAGACTCACTGGTCTCTGCCTCCTGAGTGCTGGGATTAGAGGCATGTGCCATCACTGCCCGGTGACGTTTTTTTCTCATGGATTCTGGGGCTCAAAGTCAGGTTCTCGTGATTATGTGGTAAGCACTTTATCCACTGAGCCATCTCCCTACTCACAATTTTTTTAAAGCTTTTAGAATTACACTTGTTATATGCATGTGTGGGGTGTGTGCTATAGTACATGTATGGAGGTTAGAAAACAACTTTCAGGAATCCATTCTCTCCTCCACCATGTAGGTCCCAAGGATAGAATGCAGGTGGTCAGCCAGGTGGTGGTGGCACATGCCTTTAATCCCAGCACTCGGGAGGCAGAGGCAGCTGGATCTTTGTGAGTTTGAGACCAGCCTGGTCTACAAGCACTAGTTCCAGGACAGCCTCCAAAGCCACAGAGAAACCCTGTCTGGAAAAACCAAAAAGAAAAAAAATGCAGGTGGTCAGGCTGAATCATCTTCCTATCCTCTCATTTTAAAAAAAGCTATTTATTTTTATTTGTGCTTGTATATATGTGCATGAGTATAGTATATATGTGTGTGTGCGTGTATGCACAGTATGTGTGTAGGCACATGGGCTTGTATGCACATAGAGAGAAGAGGAAATTGGGTGTAGTGATCCATCATTCTCTGCCTTACTCCCTTGAAACAGGGTTACTCTATGAACCTTCAGTTACATTGGTGACCAACAAGCCCCAGAAATTATATCTCCACCATCCCTGGCACAGAGGTTATATGAGCTCAAGTAGCCACCCTTGCTTTTTTTTTTTTTTTTTTTTTTTGGTTTTTCGAGACAGGGTTTCTCTGTGGCTTTGGAGGCTGTCCTGGAACTAGCTCTTGTAGACCAGGCTGGCCTCGAACTCACAGAGATCTGCCTGCCTCTGCCTCCCGAGTGCTGGGATTAAAGGCGTGCGCCACCAACGCCCGGCTCACACCTTGCTTTTTATGTGAGTGTTGTCATCCAAACCCAGGTCCCATGCTTGTGTAGCAGACACTCATTTTTACCCACTGAGACATTGAATCCCAGTCCATGAATCCCAGTTTTTTTAAGGTTTATCATCATCATCATCATTACTATATGTGTGCATGTGTGTGGGTGTGTACATGCATGTGGGTGTATATATACATTGGATCCCCTGGAGTTTCAGTTATGAGCCATCCATTGTGTGTTCTAGGAACCAAAACTCAGGTCCTGTGAAAGAGAAGCAAGTGCTTTTAACTACTGAGCCATCTCTCTAGCACTAGCCCAGATTTTTTTTTTCTCTGTATTGTTTTGAAGGCTATCCTGGAACCCACTCTGTAGACCAGGCTGGCCTCGAACTCACAGAGATCCATCTGCCTCTGCCTCCCGAGTGCTGGGATTAAAGGCGTGTGCCACCAACGCCCGGTGTTCCTAACCCAGATTTTTAAAAAGTAAGTCTTGTATGTCAGGCACCAGGCTAGGCACAAGAGAAACATTATTAAATCGAATGAAAGGGCTGAGCGGGACATAGTGGGGCATACCTGTAATCCTAACATTCAGAAACCAGACGGAGGGAGATTGCAATTCAAGGCTGGCCAGCTGGACTTGCTTGAGTTGAGTTCATCCGGGGCTGTACAGAGAGGCCTTGCCTCTAAACACCATAAACTAACCAGAGCAGGACTGGGCTGGAGAGATGGCTCAGCAGTTAGAAGAGGGACACTGACACAGACTAGGAAGTTTAGGGAGGCTTTTATGAGGAAGAACCCATTTGAAACTGGGCATGGTGGTGCACACCTCAATGTTAGCACTCCAGAGGCAGAGGCAGATAGGTGGATCCCTGTGTGTTCCAAGCCAGTGTTTATATAGTAAGTTCCAGGACAGCCAGGGCTACATAGTGAGACTTTGTCTTGGGAAAAAGAAGATTCAAACACACACACACACACACACACACACACACACACACACTTTACTGATATTTTTTTAAAAGATTTATTTATCTCATTTTATGTGTATGATTGTTTTGTCTGTGTGTATGTACCACTGCATGATGTCTGGTACCTTCAGAGGCCAGGAGAGGGCATCAGATACTCTGGAATTCAAATTACAGATGTTCGTGAGATGCCTTATGTATGCTAGGAATTGAACTCAGGTCCTCTGGAAGAGCAGCAAGTGCTCTTGACTGTTAAGGCATCTCTCCTGCCCCCAAAGCTGCATTATTAGAGACGACTAGTAGCTGGCTAGAGGAAAAAGAGGAACAGGAAATACAGAAAGAGCATAAAGACCCTCTGGTAGTAGGGGTTGGTGGTGCACACCTTTAATCCCAGCACTCAGGAGGCAGAAGCAGGTGGATCTCTGTGAGTTCAAGGCCAGCCTGGTATACAAAGCTACACAGAGAAACCCTGTGTGGAAAAAAAAAAGACCCTCTGGTAGGGAAGAGAGAAACATATATTACCTGTAACAATAAACATTGGCTGATAGAACAGATACTTATTTACCATTCTAGTGGTGGGACATGAGAGAATGGAGTCAATAAATGAGGTGGACTAACAATGTGCATTGAGGTTTTGTCTGGGTTTATGTCTGTATGAGGATGTCAGATCCCCTGGAACTGGAGTTAACAGACAGTTGTGAGCTGCCATGTAAGTGCTGGGAATTGAACCTGGGTCCTCTGGAAGGACTTTTAATCAGTCTTAGTCACTGAGGCATCTCTCCAGCCCCACAATACCCAACTTTATTCAGAGCATCAGACAATTTATGCTCTGGGAGTTATGAAGAGTCACATAAATGAAGCATCCAGCCACAAGGGCAAGCCACACACGTGGAAAGGGAGCACGTGGCAAAACAGCCCACCATGTTGTCCATAGAGGCCTAAGAACAAATAACAATAGCCAGCTGTAATGAATCATCTGAAGTCAGCTCGCTCCTATCTGCCACCCCTGGGAGGGACATGAAAACGTACTCCAAGAACAATTCTATGGTTCTGAGAAAAGTGAGGTCTCAAAATTCTTACCTTGCCAGGCAGTGGTGATGCATGCCAACAGAGGCAGAGGCAGGTGGATCTCTGTGAATTCAAAGCCAGCCTGGTCTGTAGAGCAGGTTTCAGGACACCCAGGGCTACCCAGAGAAACCCTCACTTGTCTTGGTTTCTTGTAGTTTTCTCACAAGCACTCCCAATTCTCACACAACTCCATCCTTGTACCATGTTATGACATTTAGCTGGGCGTTGGTGATGCATGCCTTTAATCCCAGCACTTAGGAGGCAGAGGCAGGCAGATATCTGTGACTTTGAGACCAGCCTGGTCTACAGAGCGAGTTCCAGGACAGCCTCCAAGATAATACACAGAAACCCTGTCTCAAAAAACAAAAACAAACAAAAAACAGAAAAAAAAAACCCTAACATTTATGTGCTAGGAGCTCTTAAAAGGTGTTAATCAGGTTAATTAACACTAGCTACATTAGTGAAGAAGCCCCAAATCTCTGTGATTTCCTGTCATAAAGATGCATTTCTTCCTCTCCACGGTTGGTTAGCTTTCCTGGGCAATCTCCTTCAGGCTGGGACTAAGAGATACAGGGGATACAGGTTCTCTCACATGTGGAAACTAGA